CTTCTAGCGCGCAGCCAGGTCAATCAAAAAGTCAAAGCCGGAAGAGCTAAGGTGCTATTTACAAATGGTTAGAAAACAATTTAATAACAAACCACAAACAATTTCCAGACCAAATGTATACAATAATTCGGATCTCAAATGCAACGTGCCGCCAACAGCAATGGGCAACAGATAAGCACAATGAAGCGAATCGGTTCTAATGTCAGTGTGGTTTAACGCGAAGTGATCAATCGTCAAGCGATCAGCCAAGGAGCAGTGCACATGGAACGCGGGAGTAGCAAGTTTAACCATTGTGATTAATCAGGGTCATAATGTGAACAAAGTAACGGAAGTTTTGTCATACAAAGTCCAATAAGCAATCAAGGGGTAGTGATTAGTGGTTTTGGAGTCAATCAGTAGGGGAAATCTCCAGATAGGTTGAACAAGTTAATTTGTCTGTTACACTAACCACCAAATTGCTTCCAGAAATTTCACCTTGCTTGACAGTTCATTTCAAGCTAAGATTTCGAAATTAGAAACAGCACCAAGCAGAACAGAACAGATGTTGGAAAAACGGGGAACATTAGCAAGATCCTCACAGAGGACAGGTGTAACAAGTTCAATGTTCGACGGACCGACGGGAGAAAGCAAACAACAAAGGGATCGAGTCAACGACTAGGCAAGGGAGTGTAAATGTGATGACTACAATCGATGCACAGCATCATTACCAGTGAAACCGAAAGATAACCGCGATACACGACAGAAGAAACCAAACAGGGAGAAAACATTGATAAAAGAGAAGAAAACGTCGCGAACGCAGTTGATGCGTCAAAACGTTCCGTACGCAATTCCTCCTCAATTTGCTCACACGATAAGTTGCCGCAGTCAACGCACAATACTTCTCCACATTCATCGCCTCGCTCAATGCCACAGCCTCACACACTCGCGCGTACTCCGACCGAAGCGCACACAATTCCTTGCTCAACGCGCCTTCCGATACACAAGTCACATGCAATTCCCCCAGCATCTCACACCAACGACTCCATCTCGATCAACCCCGATGCGTTCTCACTATACCAGTTCTGCGATGTGTTCACAAACGAATCCACGCTACACACACATTGATCCAACTCCGACACTCCGAACGACTGCCAAAGCTTGCAATCCAAAGCAAGGGTCCGCAACTCAGCACCAAAACTGCCCAGCACATCCGGCAGATGACGCAACTCGCCATACATACCAACCGATAGTTGCTGCTGATGCGCTACTCGAACACTCAGAGCCTCACGAACCAACTCCGAGCACTTCAAACGATCTGTCAACTCCAACAATGTACGTTCCAATAATCCGTTCACATAACTCGCACTAACCTTAGCAAAGTGGCACACCAACTTACCCAACAACCTCGCATCCACCACTGTAGGTCTCGACGATGTAGCCGACCCAATGGCACCTCCAGTCGACGACACCGTCACCGGAAGCCAACAACCAACATCCACACTCTGCACACCTACATTACAATCACTAGCTTACACACCATCCGGTCTGTGCTCCGTCTTCCCAACAACGTTCCACGACCACAAATGACCTCACATAGAAGATCCACATTCTTACCATGGGTTCCCACCAACAGCGAAGGCAATGACAGCAGCCTGTCACCAGTAGGCAATTCTTCCACAAACAAGAGTGAGTCGCTCACCTCTCCCTCATGTAAAACATTCACAGCGAAACCAAGACGAGCACCGGTATCATCTGCAACACTCAAGGCAGACGCCTATGCAACAATATCAATTGCCGATTCATCCGTCGCAGCATAACGCAAGTCAGCCACCAACTCGCTCTCAGTCTCCGAGTTACGCGCCCGCTCACGCGCCTCTCTCAGCTGAAGGTACTCCAATCGAAGACCAGTCAACTCATCCTGAAACTGAAATAGCACATCCGCCTTCGTTTGCACACAACATCAATCGCTGCATCCTCATCCGTTTGACTGCTCACATGTTTCACGTACCTTGAGGATGGGGCTGAATCATGAACATCAACCACTGACACATCCGCTCTCGCATCCAAATCCGAATCAACACCACCAGGTAATCGCACCAATGTCGATGATGAACATGGGACCGACTCGCACACCACGCTCCGCGAAACACAAATCTCAGCCGACACATCTGCATGTTCCGTCGACGCTAGGTCCACTCGCCCACTGGACCGAATCAATCAATGCACCATCATGCACACCAAAATCAATACGAGATCGCAACTCCTCACACTCAGCTCGAGCAGCCACAATCTCTACACGTAAAACCTCATTTGGCACACGATCTTCAGAACCGACGATGGAAAACTCCCTGTCACTTAGCGATCTAAGCAGACCCTCTAGGGATTGTGGGTTACACCGAGCATGATTGACCGATAAAAATGAATCTCTTCCAGATTCTACTGGTTCAATCAATGTCCATCCCAAGGGTATTCTCGCAGCAAACGTTTGATTTCTTCCGCCAAGGCGCTGCTCTTGTTGCCAGTGGGATGCTGGTACATCGGTTCCGATCAATATACTCACACGCTTAGCTAAAAGCTCTCCGAATTGCACACCCTTAAGGTGGAGCCAGCGACGATCCATCATTCGAGTAGACATCTTGACAGATTGCAACTTCAACTCCTTGAAGCATTAGGCCCGAGGAACATGATTTGCAGCGATCGATGCCGCTCCGGTCAGCGTTCGTATCTTCAACGACTCACTGGTGGGCATTAGTCCAACCTCGCGTAGCAAACCTTCCTCCGCCAAGGTGACATCTGACTCGGTGTCTAACAATACATACAACTCAGTTGATCATTGTTGGCCACGCAGTCGTGCAGATACAATGCCCAGTTGAACCACTTGTCGTGAACCGGAGGTAATACGGCAGCCCCTCACCTTTGGCTACGAGTTTTCCTTGCGTTCCAGGTGCAGCAGCGGGTGATGGCCATCTTTACAATTCGACTGCCCACATCTATCGTTCAACATGCAAGAAGCAGCCAAGTGGCCACAATCGAGGCATTTGTAACATCCTTATCTTTGTTTCATTAGTTCCGATCTAGCGGGTACTCCGTAAGCCAAAAATTCATTGCACGAAGCGGTGCCATGTCAACCGTCACAAATTAAACAAAGTCCATCCGGTGTCGCCTGACTTAGTGTAGTGATTGATCATGGCCTCATTCCTTTTACGTATATGAATAGGTAAACATCGGAAATTAGGCGGTCTCATCTCAGTTATCTATGCAATCTGGACAAACCTGCAGCGCATAATGCGAGCTTCAGAAAAGACAAATTCACTAAGGTCCGTGAAACTGATTTCGCTCCTTTCCTGTAGGATACGGTCAGCTGTTCGCGCCCACCGTGTCTTCAAACTTGCTGCCAAAACGCGTACGAATCTCTCAATGGCTGAAATCGAGTCGAGGTCAGCGAGGAACCCCATCTGGCTCAACGCAATGTGACGATTTTCCATTTTTAGGGAGAGACGGCAAATGGTTTCATCATCATGAGCGAGTGGTTTTAGCTCTCTCAGCAATCCATTAATAATTAATCTAGCAACCACGTGACTCTGGCCAAATAAATCGTGAAGGATCGTTACCGCCCTGACATAAGCCTGGTCCGGTGGCAACACTGATGGTTTCTTTCGCCCGATTACGACAAAGGTTCATCAAATACAAAAGACGCTGACCACTGTCTGTCATACGATTCTAAAAAAATAATCAGACAGTTTCGTAAACATCAAACAAGTGGCAGGATTAACATCAAAATATTCGAGTTCTACCTTTGGAAGGTTCAGCTGACAAAGATCAGCAATGGGCTGCTCAACAGTCGAAGAAAAGTGTCCGTATTCGCATGCCGAGGTCTGGCAGTCTTCAATAACCGAGGTAGGTTCTTCACACAAACCTCTTGTACCATCAAACGGCTCGGGTGAACTGTTACAGAGCTTGGAGTTCTCCAATAACCAACGCCCATAACGCTCGAAATCAGGTCCAGCCATCAACCGCTCCTCTCCAGTTGACAAGTTTCAAGGCAATATTTGAGGCATTAGAAACAGCAATACCTCTGCTACTACCACTAGACCTATGACCAAGAGGCAAACAAGAACGGGAAACTGCCTCTTCCGTGGAACAGCAAAAGGTACGACTTACCCAGTATCGCCAATATTTACGGGATTATTTCTTGAAGGTCTTCTTCTTCAGGCCATTAATTGGTATTAAACGTAGCCCAAATAATCCTGGGACATTTGAGTACTGTTAACGACGAATCGGTCTTGGAAACTGAGCAACTCCTAGCGGAGCCGGGTCAATTAAAAAGTCAAAGCCGGAAGAGCCAAGGTGCTATTTACAAATGGTTAGAAAACAATTTAATAACAAACCACAAACAATTTCCAGACCAAATGTATACAATAATTCGGATCTCAAATGCAACGTGCCGCCAACAGCAATGGGCAACAGATAAGCACAATGAAGCGAATCGGTTATAATGTCAGCGTGGTTTAAAGCATAGTGATCAATCGTCAAGCGGTCAGTCAAGGAGCAGTGCACATGGGACGCGAGAGTAGCAAGTTTAACCATTGAGCGATGCAAAACGAGTAAACTCTTGTGGTTAATCAAGGCCAAAATGTGAAGGGGAAACAAAGTAGCGGAAGTTTTGTCATGCAACGTCCAATAAGCAATTAAGGGGTAGTGGTTAGTGGTTTTGGAGTCAATAAGTAGGGGAAATCTCCAGATAGGTTAAACAAGTTAATTTGTCCGTTACAGTATTTGATAGGCAGTAACTCAACGACTGTCTACCGGAGACCGGTATATGTACAGTATACGATTTAAAAGCCTCACACGTTCTGCATTAAATTATAGGATTTGGTACTGATGATACAAGAGGAAGCGATTGCACTGTGAAAACGCCAAACAATAGGTTTCTGTGCAAAACACAGTGGAGTTTATCAAAATGATATAATCAGAGGTAATAAAAACATGGGCGACAACAGTGTCTTCGGCCACATTCTCACCCGAATGAACAACTTTGAGGTGTTTGTGCAAATCGATCCTTCGACCATAGGATTTCTCACAGACCCCACATTTATGAGGACGTTGTCCTGCGTTGAGAAACAGAGAAATTACTGGCGGGCCACAAAATAAGTATAGGAATGTACGCTAGGTGGTGACACAAAATGTGTAAAAAATACTGTCAATGAACGTTTGAATCGTCAAATGAAGGATGGAGGTCAAGAATAATGCGTACAGCATCTACTGGTAACAACTTAGTGCCAATGTTATGTAGGATACAGAGTCTGACATAAGACACAATCATCATGTGTAATCAGGAGGAAATCCCAGTGAAAAACATTCCACTTACTCAATTATGCCACAAACACCCCATTCACATTCACCTGCCATCAACAGTACGCTGGTACAATGTACCGATTCTCGGATGCCACGAGACCACCACCAGACGTGAGCGCGTTAAGGATACTGCGAGAATCGCCCGGCCATTACGCAGACTCGAACTGACAACGTCGAACTGCAAGGCAGATGCATCGTGCGTTCGGAGACCGGACGGCTTCGCACTCACCTAGATGCACATGTCCCACCACGTCTGACAGCGCAAACGTGTTACGTCCTGGTTTACAAACTTCACCAGTCTCTGCATATAATCGACACTGTGCAGCTATGTACTCGCATTCATCAGGTTGTAAAACGTACAGCAGGAGGTCTGTTTTCTCTATCTCACTATTGCGTTTGAATGTCATTGAAGAACGAAAGTGCCGCGCTCTGTTCTCGATCACTTCCACGCACAGTACAACTGAGTTGATCCTTAAACATTACGTGCAGCCATTTCCCTTCAGAAATTTCAAGAGAGCAAGAACGAACAGCATTTCTGCGGGATAACCTGAATTCTGATTATTTCGTGTCTTCTCGTTCAGCCGCTTACAGACAAATCGTGGAAAGAGTAAAGGAATGCAATTGAAAAAGGGGCTCAATAGAAAAATCAATAAAACACTGGGCAAACCAAGGTCATTGCCTGCGTCTTACCAGGGCAAGGCAAGACTGACCACAAAGTCTATCTGTTTGCAAAGGTTCGGTTTTATTCGTCTGATGGCCGAGGCTTCAGCGAAACGAAGCAAGCTCGCGTTGTTTTGTCTGCTGATAAACTTGAATGCGTCACGTGGGTTTTCGCACAAGGTGCAATCGAGCAGATGCTCAGCGATGGAGCTGGCATCTGGCTTGCATCTCTAAGCCAATTCACTTTGGTCGTTAACCCATTTGAATGTATCTAGC